TACTCTAGCTACAGGCTTACTGGCAGCTCCAGACACCAGTGTCCCTGTGGATGGGGCTCTGGCAGGCTTTAGGGGGGTTTACACGTCCCTGGAGGCAGTATAGCAAATGGTGAACAGTTATTTATGTCAGGTGAAGCCAAGCTGCTTCTGAGGGTCTAGACAGCAACTGAGGAAAATGCATTAGTCAAGGTTTTAATGCATATAATTTCCCAGAAAAGGTGTTTACTTGCTCCAGCAACACACTAAGAACTGCATTAGGAAAGACCTCTTTAGCATTTTACATCCTTTACATCCTTTAATAGATCTCAAATTCTAGAATGCTTTAACAAAATCACCTGGGTCACACAGAGCTATGGGTGCAGGAGGCTGGAATCTTCTTTTTTGTTTGTTTTTTTTTTTTTTAACATTTATTTATTTTTGAGAAAGAGAGAGACCAAGCACAAGTGGGGGAGGAACAGAGAGAGAGAGAGACAAAAAATCTGAAACAGGCTCCAAGCTCTAAGCTGTCAGTACAGAGCCTGATGAGGGGCTTGAAGCCACGGACAGCAAGATCATGACCTGAGCCAAAATCAGACACTCAGCCAACCCAGGTGCCCCTGAAATCTTCATTTTTAATGTGCACCTCACTGGTTGGGACCACACTCTAAGGAGCTGTGCATCCTGTGCACAACCCAGGGAGGTGTGAGCCAGCTGAAGGCCTGTAATAGAGGGGCAGACCACTCATTTGGGCTGTCCACAAACTAAATCCCCTGTTTCAGACTGATGATTGTATTTTTCAGGCTTTTTATTTTTAACAAAAACCTTTCATTTTTTTAATGTTTACTTATTTTTGAGAGACAGAGCATGAAGGGGGTAGGGGCAGAGAGAGAGGGAGATACATAATTGAAGCAGGCTCCAGGCTCTGAGCTGTCAGCACAGACTCTGACGTGAGGCTTGAACTCATGAACCATAAGATCGTGACCTGAGCTGGAGTCGTACAGTTAACCAACTGAGCCACCCAGGTGCCCCTAACAGAAACCTTTTAAACCTTTTTTCAGAAACCCAATCTATGAATCAAATAGAAGCTCTTTTCTGGTTGAAGTGATAATGGATGTCCCTTGCAGGGACCCGGGGGTGCTCATGCCCCAGAGCTGACAGGCCTCCAAGTGTGGTCAAGAGGCCTTCAGCCCCCAGGCATTGTTGGCTCCTCCAGTGTCTCACAGGGATGATCACTAAACAGACCCTGGATTAGTGACTGTGACAGCTTGGAAGACACCTGCTTTGCAGAGACCAGGGGAACATTAGTATCAAAACTTCCAGCTTCTTTTCATCACCCACGTGCTTCTGCTTCCATTCCTGTTTGGATGCTTTGTACTCCTTGTAGTCATAGAAAGTTTCTGGCAAACTCAAAATTTCGAGACAGCTGGTGAGAGTTGAAACCGTTTCTTTATGGAGAAAACTAGATGTTACAGAAATAAACCTTTTTATGTTTTACTATGAGCTGCTTTAAATCCTTTTGGAAAGTAGCTGGGGTGCAAACAGTGAATAATGCTCACTAAATGAAATTCTATGCAAATCCAAATAAAACCACTTCCAGCTAACTGACCTGGCAGAGGATGAGAAGGACGCCTCCTGGTGGCGGAGGAGGAAAGGAGGTTCACAGCCAATTTTATGTTGTATACTGTAGTTGGATGGTTATTTTTCTTTTCTCTTCTTCTGCGAATAAAGAAAAAAAGAGTTCTGAAAGCAAGACAATTGAGAAAGCAAACCTTAGTGTCCTTCCTAGATTCTGACATGGTTTGGGGCTGACACATAACAAACTTAGTGGTGCCTGAGTTGCACGTTGCTCTTTGAGGTCAGGCACTGGCACTACCAAATTGGGACTTGTGAGTAAAGGGTAAATGGACAGTTAGAAAGACAGATATCGAACTGTGTCTCAGACATTTTGTTTTCAAATACCTTTTTAAAAAAGAATTGTTTCTCACTTGGTAAAGTTGCATACATTTAGTCTATTAAGCTATATTTTATGATAAATTACTCAAGTATCATAATGTTTTGCTTAGACCACATTTATGTGCCCATTGCCACACTTTGGTGTTATGGTACTTAAGACTGCAGGGCAGGATTTGTTGTGAAGAATTATTTTAAACGTTAGAAAATCTGTCGAAGGTCAGAGCTCTAAAACTAAGGACCTAAGTCTCCTGTTTAGTAGTTGTTTTTGGTAGGTGATAAATGGGGAGTGCATGTTCTGTATTCCCCAAGGCCTTCAATTCCCTCCATTGGGACTGAAGATGGGCCCAATAAATAGAATTTATCCTGCAAGAGGAAAAGCAACATAGAGAGACAAGGGAGTAAGGATTTGGAGACTGAAAAGTTCCTCCTCGTTACTAATAAAGCAAAGATTGTAGTATGTGGTTTATATCTGTGGGCAAACACGGCTCCTAATACTGGACCTGAGGGTCAGACAGGCCTCCTAGTGACAGGGTTGCAGGACACCACCAGCTCCTCTCTATGGAAGGAGCAGAGCAGAACTTGCATTCTCTGCCCACAGGGTGGTTCCAAAGAGAAAGAGAATTTGAGGGAGTGAAGCCATAATTACTATATAATTTATTGTCAGGTTAGCCAACATACAGTGTGCTCCTGGTTTTGGGGGTAGATCCCCGGGATTCATCACTTAAACATAATGCCCAGTGCTCATCCCAACAAGTGCCTTCCTCAACACCCATCACCCATCTCCCCCTTCCCCTGCATCCCCCCCCCCATCAACCCTCACTTTATTCTCTGTATTTAAGAGTCTCTTTTGACTTGCCTCCCTCTCTGTTTGAAAGTATTTTCACCCTTCCCTTCCCCCATGGTCTTCTATTAAGGGTCTCAAGTTTCACATACGAGCAAAAACATATATCTGTCTTTCTCTGACTGACTTATTTCACTTAGCATAATGCCCTCCAGTTCCATCCACATTGTTGCAAATGGCAAGATTTCATTCTTTCTCATTGCCAAGTAGTATTCCAACACACTTTTTTTATAGTGCTCACAGTTCCATCTATTAAGTCAGTTAGGTCTAAACAGCTTAAGGGTAGTTAGTGGCCAGCTGGGTGTCTGATGAGTGTCACTGTGTTTTCCCTGAAAATGTCCCACAGAGCCCCTCTGATTTTGCTGTGGTGCCCCACGGCCCCATGGTGCACAGTTTGGAAAATGCCATCTCCTTGAGAACTCAACAACAAAGTTAAGTCACTGCTTATTGTCTTAGAAGAGTGGATGAATGAAAGTTAAAAAGAAACCAGGAATCTTATCCTAATGGAGCTCCCTCCATGTGGAAGAAAACTTGAGGAGAGGGTAGAAACATACTCTTGCGTCCCCTCCCTCACTCCCCATTCTGCCAGGTTTCAGCTCAGTTATCCCAGAGCTGATATTGCTTCCCAGCCCAACAGACTGGATAGTGTCTGTTAAGAAGCTGCACCTTCCAGTATTCTTAGTACCAGGTACCTCTTTGGAAGGGAAATGGAGAGTAAAAGGATAACCCCAGGGATGTAGCTAGAATACATTTCTACAGCCTACCCTTTCAATTCTGTGTGCCCTAAGGTGAAATATTATGAAAACCAAAGAGAAACTTATTTTTGTTTAACTAAGTTAGATGCAGACTGTCAATTCTACAGAGCCTCCAAGCACATAAGTTTCCCTTTGCCCATAGTTTTGAATAGAAGTGAGTCTTCAGTGAGAAAAATGAACAGCTGAGCCTCTCATGTGTATTCCAAACCCAACAATAAAATGTCCACTCCTTTATAATGCAAAATTTCTGTTAATAATGAAAAGGAATAGAGGGTCATAAACAACTAAGTATTTCCTCTGTGTTTCTCTCATTTAAACTATAGAACTATGCCCAGTATACATTTATAGCTTGATTGATCAAGTGTGCATTTCAATCAGTCATATTGGCCTCATCAGTAAAATACTGGTATTAGCAAAACACAAATTGCAAAATGTGCAAAAACTTTACCAAAGAGGTCAAGTATTTAATTCATTTGTATTAAAATTCTACTCTGTCATACCCAATACATACAAATTTAAGAGTTTGCAAACTATGTCTGAAAACATTTTATTTGATCTGTTTGATACCTCACTTCCCCGCCAAAAAGCAAGCACCTTCCAGGATGCACTACTGGGTTTTGCTCTGAACTCCTGCCTTAGGAGGAAGCACTATTTAGTCCAAGACATGAAGTAATAAGACAGGTTATGGGTGGCCACCATAGATGCCTGTGGAAGGAAGAGGGCTGGTCACTTAATGGGCAGCCAGCAGAAGCATGCCTCTCTGGGGAGGTCCAAGGGTCTTCTGACAAGGCCTGCTAAATAGCACACAACCCTCCCAGCCTCACCTGCCACACTGTAGATGCTCCTTGTTTTCCTTTCCCTTGCTGCTTCATCGAGGCCTGCCAATTCTGACCTCACTCTGGTCCTCTCCAGCCCTACTTCCACCTGGCCATCCCAATTCTTATTTTCCTATTCAGCTTCACTCTTCCAGAGATCCTGACAACCTAAAGGAGCCTCCTTGGAGGCTCAGTTTCCTTGTCAGTAAAATGGGGATAATTAATAAACTCTGCTTACTTCATGGACTGATTATGAGGATCGAATGAGTTGTATGTTAGAGCATTTAGTTAAATGCAAAATGCTATATAAATGTCAGGTGTTGTAAATCATGAGCTGGTCTATTCTTCAGCTAACGGAGTTTCCATGCATATTTTAGTTACCCTCTGAACAATTCTTTGTCAAGTAGCAAATGTAAATGCTGCTGTTTTTTTCCTGCTTGGCTTATGGTGGCTCCTTTGCAACTTTATGATGTAGGCTGAATCTTTAAGTACTCCTTTGGCTCATATCTCTTCCCCTGAACACCCATGCAGGATCATAATCCATAAAACACAGAGGCAATAACTCCTTTTAATTGCCAGGAGTTCATCATTTGCTAAGTTCTAAATGCAGTCACTTAGACACTTGCCTTGAAAAGCCTGTCTGTGTTTCTTCCATAGAGCCGAGACTGTGTGAAACTGGGCCCTCCTGCTGAGGGAGAAGTTGTCCAAGTCAAGTGGCCCGATGGCAAACTCTATGGGGCAAAATATCTGGGATCAAATGTTGCCCACATGTACCAGGTGAGTGCTCTCCTGTGTGAGATGCTTGCTGAGAGGAAGCTAGAGGGCACGTGTATATCCAGTATGCTGTTGACCAATAGGCCACATGAATTTGGAGCACCTCTTCTTTTTGAAAGGAGCCAAAGATTCACTGTCTGATGATCCAGATGTTGGAGTTTTGTTACCAAATTCAACACAGGGAAACTCTAATAGCATTTAATGGGTGGTAATTGTAAAGAATATAGTTAGGCCACAAAGATAAGCAGCTGGATAATAGGCTGCTTTCTTGTGTTTACATCATATGCAGAGAGACTAATTGGCTGACTTATCTCACCATAAGCCAAGGCAGCGATGGCTATTCATCAGCCAGCAGCCTCTGAATTGGTGGCTTTTGCCTGAGAGACTTAATTCCATTGGGAGTTTCAGCAAACCTTAAATCAACTGTGTGTTGACACATTTGTGGCTGTTTGTCCACATAAGCTAAACAGGGTGCTTATTTAGTGAAAAGTAGAGCTATTGGTTGGATATTCTCTTCACTAGGGAACTCTGCATATTATTAGAGAGTGCATATACAATTAAACTGAAAATATTTTATCTCTATCAGAAATGAGAATAAATTAAACTCTAACAAAGAAAACATCATGGATAGCAGATGTGCATTTGTATTCCTTCAGACTCTTTTTTCAAGTTTATTGACTTATTTTGAGAGAGAAAGAGAGAGAGAGAATGAGGACAGGAGGGGCAGAGAAAGAGAGGGTCAGAGGATCCAAACTAGGCTGTGCACTGACAGCAGAGAGCCCGATGCAGACCTAGAACTCAGGAACCATGAGATCATGACCTGAGCCAAAGTCAGATGCTTCACTGAGCCACCAAGGTGGTCCTCCTTCAGACTTTAAAAGGCAGCACATTTATTAGAATCCATACATTGTAGTACTTTCAGTAACACGATGGCAGAAATCAACATTCTCAAGCTAAGCCATAGAGTAAAAACAGGAAGATTGAAGTTCAAAGAAGAAAAAAATAAGAAGGTTCAGGCCTGTTAAGTTAAAAACAGCTTGAGAATGATAATACTGCTAGTTTCAACTTAGAAATTATTCAAAGACTAATAAGGGGCAGGGCTTTAAGTGACAGAGTACAGTATAAGACACTGCATCAGGAACTAGAGCACAATGTAATTAAAGGAGTGCAAAGAAGTTTAGGAAACTTGAACATGTTTTAAGGCCTAGAAAAACCCAAGGTGAGCAAGGAGGGGAGCACATTTATATATATATATATATATTGTATGTGTGTGTGTACTCATACATACATGTGTCCATGAGTGTGTATAGGCTATTTTCCCCTTTGTATTGGTCCATAGTGTTGAGTTACAGATTCAGGTTATTTATAGGGTAGGTGCTGGAATTTATTTGTATCAGAGTATCCAGAATCAGGCAGAAATCATAAGACAGACTGATAATAGTGGAGACTCCTAGAAAAGAAGCATTACTACATGACTCAAAAGAAAATAATTACATTTAATTAAACAATAAATGTAAAAGTGAAGCATCTTACATGTAGCAAAGCTCTTAGCTTACATGAAAAGTATCACAATGAGGACATGCTGAAATTCAGACTAATTAGTAATCAGTATGTTAACTTCAGTGGAATTTATGATGGCCTATCAACATGGAACTATAGGCATATTTATAGACTCCATGAAAAAGCTAAGACTAATATTAAAATTATCTCTCAAGTACAAGGAGCTTAAAATTCCTCATTAAACCAAGTGCCCTTTTGAGATCATTTTGTGTTTTGTGTCTAACTGTTCAGTCTCATCATTGAATAAGCAAAGACATTCACAAAAATAGATAGAACTAAAATACCTATGGCACAGAGCTAAATATGCTAAGTATATTTGCTTTTTTGACTCTCACAGTAGCCCTGTAAGATAAATCTTTTTGACCTCTATTTTACAAATGAGGGTAAAAAGGTTACGTGAATTTAATAATTTGTTGGTGAGCAAAGAGCTTGTAAAGGGAAGGGCCAGAGTTTACTCTAAGCTGAGTCCCAACTAGGGTGAACAACCATCTCAGCTTGTGAGGGCCTGTCCCTGTTTTTAGCAAGCTAGAAGTCCTGCGTCCCAGGAGACTCTTGGGTCATCACACCATACTCCCTTTTAGTTTTATAATTGTCTTTTTCTCTTTTTAGAATTTTCAAATGATCTAACACAGAAGAAAGGTAGGCACAAGTACTTCTAGTTATGCTATCAAACTGTATAAATGAGATGACACCTTGGCCTAATTAAATATTAAAGAAACCACTCTGCTAAAATAAGGCCAGGAAGAAAAGCCTTCCCATCCGAGGCTTCTGGAAGTAACAAGAAGAGAGAGCTCTCCTGTTACTGAGACCTAATTCCACCCTATTGTTTCAGCTTAGTCTAATATGCATAGTACATGGATAAAAAGAAAATTATATATTTTATCCTAATTTTAGTATTTGTTCAAGTCCAGCAGATTTTTTTTTATTAACATAGTGCAACTGCAAAGTTTCACTTACCTTTTAACCAGAAATACAAGCTTATTTTTTTTTATTAATTTCTTTTTTTTTTTTTTTTACAAATAGTTTATTGTCAAATTAGTTTCCACATAACACTCAGTGCTCATCCCCAAAGTGCCCTCCTCCATGCCCATCCCCCCTCCCCCCCACATCCATCAGTCCTCAGTTTTTGTCAGCATTCAAGAGTCTCTCATGGTTTGCCTCTCTCCTTTTCCCCCACCATTTCCGCCCTTCTTCTCCCCCTTGTTCCTCCATCAAGTTCCTCCTAATCCTCCTATACGTGCAAACATATGATATTTGTCCTTCTCTGCCTGACTTATTTCGCTCAGCATAACACACTCAAGGTCCATCCATGTTGCTACACATGGCCAGATTTCATTGTTTCTCATTGCCATGTAGTATTCCATGGTATAGATAAACCACATCTTCTTGATCCATTCATCTGTTGATGGACACTTAGGCTCTTTCCATGTTTTAGCTATTGTGGAGAGTGCTGCTATGAACATTGGGGTACACTTGCTCCTATGCCTCAGCATTTCTGTATCCCTTGGGTAAATTCCTAGCAGTGCTATTGCTGGGTCATAGGGGAGTTCTATTGTTAGTTTCCTGAGGAACCTCCACACTGTTTTCCAGAGGGGCTTTACCAGTTTACATTCCCACCAACAATGCAAGCTTATTTTTATTGCTTACACCTAAAGAATTCAGACAGACAACTTAGGAACTTCAAAAATGTCATACATGGTTCAGGGTTAGAACATATTAGATATTGTGCCCTAAAGGTACCTGGGTGGCTTGGTTGGTTAAGTGTCTTACTTTGGCCCAGATCATGATCTCACAGTTTGTGAGTTCAAGCCCCGCATTGGGCTCTTTGCTGTTAGCACTCAGAGCCTGCGTCAGATCCTTTGTCTCTTTCTCTCTCAGTCCCTGCCCCACTTGTGCTCTCTAAAAATAAAGAGGGAAAAGAGAGGCGCCTGGGTGGCTCAATCAGTTAAGCGTCTGCCTTGGCTCAGGTCATGATCTCATGGCCTGTTGAGTTCGAGCCCCACATCAGGGATTCTCTCTCTCCTCTCTCTGCCCCTACCCGACTTGTGCTCTCTCAAAATAAATAAGTAAACTAAAAAAAAAAAAGATATTGTGTTCTGATTGCATCTCTTTTGTTGTTTGCTCCTGACAGAGTTCCAAGAGCAGTCACTTTGAATAGGGAATTTGATGAATTTCCCCCAGATGCTCTAGGTTACTGTTAACCAGAGTCATATACTTTTCCCTGACAAAATCTTCTAAAAATGTTGAAAAAACTGATTATGCAGTTATTTGCTGCCATTTGATTAGCTTGAAAAAAAAGTTTTAAATTTCATTTTAGATGAAAGTTTTCATACATTATTGTGGTTTACATGTTATAAGGTTGAGAACCTGGGATTTTTCTGGCTGAATGGTTGAATTTGACAGAAGTAAGTTTTGAAAGTTAAAGTTTTCTAATAACTTGAGAAACTACTTTATCCTGGAGGATTATTATGCAAGAGTATGTCCCTCTTATGGTGTCAGAGCCTCTTAAACAAATGGTACTGATAGGCCCAGCTCTTAATGCTAAATTGGCCATAATTTCATATTCCAAGAGATAAATTGAGGAGCAGCTATGTTTCTTTGTTTTTGCTTTGGGAGTGGGGGAAGTGACAAAGCTTTCATATCACAAGTTCTAAGACTCATTTTCAAGAATTTTGGCCTGTTTGAAAACATTTGTTGTTCTTAGTTTGATAAGGGAAAGAGGTTTTCTTCCTTCCTTACTGTTGGCTTACTTTGTTCTGCTTGGTCCTTTTTTCCCTTTTTTTATGTAGTTAATTAGAACCTTGAAAAAAATGGTGAATGTTTGTGTATGTATGTGTATTTGTGATACTGTGTATATATGTTTTGTTGTATGCATGATGTCTTATTTCTCATTAGGTTGAATTTGAAGATGGATCCCAGATAGCAATGAAGAGAGAGGACATCTACACTTTAGACGAAGAGTTACCCAAGAGAGTGAAAGCTCGTTTTGTAAGTGCTGGCAAACACCCCTTGGTGATCTGCCGTGTGAATCTCTCATCCTCTCCCTCTGTTTCCCAAGCCCAGCAGGAAACATACTTAGGCATTTGGATTAATTTCCAGAAAGTCGCCAATGCGACTTTTCCCTTACTTATGCAAACCTCTAATTTAGCCCCAAATGGGAAACCAGTGTAGGTTTCTTGTTTTCCTTTCTAATGAAGTCAAATGATGTTAAAATTATTGGCATACCAAAATAGTTGGTAACTATGTACTCTGTGCAAGGTGCTAGGAACATACAGAGTACCATCCAGGCACGTATAATCTTGTCAGCAGAAGCAACATTAAAGGAAGTTTTCAGTACTAGATTAAAAGGGACACAGTATAAGTGAGTGTCTGGTTTCCTATAGCCTTATCATATAGATTAACTTCTCTCTGAAAACCCATTAATGTTTGTGTCAGTTCACAATTAAACCAAGCTCTCACTTTTATAACTAAAGGAATTTTAAAAAGCTCCAAAAGTAGCTGTGGGAATACTAAAGCAGTTTCTTAAAAAAAAGAAAATGTTTTTAGTTTCAAGCTTTATACATTCCATTAAAAGACAAACATGGACAGATAATCAAAACTGAAGTTGTTAAAAAATATAATTCATAATAACTTAGTTTTCATTATTGTATCATAAAATATTTAGTGGACCCTGAAATGAAGTCAATTTTACTCATTTAGAATTGCATCTACTATATATGCAAAATGATAAACCCTGAATAGGGAAATTTGAAAGAATGGGATTTTTTTTTTACTAAAATGAATTTTGTTCCCAGGATAAATGACACCCTTAGTTTTCAGCACATACTTATAACACACTTTTCTACAGTGATAGAGTTACCTTAATTTGAGAAATCCTTGGATTCCTTCGGTTGTATATTGGATTCCTTCGGTTGTATATTTAGCTCCTTTTCCTGTCAGGTGGGATCCTGGGAACAGGGTAAACTGCATCAGGTGTCAACTGACTTACTGAGCTGCAGTTTTTGAGAGGAAGGTCCTTCACAGTGAAATCGTCCAGAGAAGAGTGACAGTAACAGCAGTGGTACCGGCCCAATGAGAAATGTGGCACATAAGGGACCCAAACACCTAAAAATAGATTAACCACCAGATAACCTGCAGGGAAAGAGAAAATCAAATATTCCTGTTGTAAAAACATTGGCTAAATCCTAACAAAGATCTTGAAAGTCTGGATAGCTTGTCCAGCCCTACATTTTTAAATCTCTTAAAAATAATTTTCCTCTTCTGGATGCTAAAGATGGCTACCTCTCATGCTGTGCTCCTGTCTTCCACAGATTCTCTCCTGTCTCCCTGCCCTCCCTTGCCCCCAACTCCTTTATTTATTTATTTATTTATTTATTTACTCACTCACTCACTCACTCACTCACTCACCTAGAGATTGAAACATTCCGGGGAGTGGAGTAGGTAGTCCTCTGTAAGTCACTCAGGTCTTTGATTTACTAATGCATGTATGATGAAGCACCAGCTGGGTCTTATAGATTTCAAATACTGTTTCTTAATCACATTAAAAGAATGCTTTTTTGGTTTCTGCTCAGATCATAATTTCTTTGTTCTATAATAGATTTAGCTCCAAGACCAGGTTGACTTCCTAAATAGCTTTATTTGAACCCAGCTCCTGAATTTCCTAAGATCCATTTCACTGAACAATCACAACATCATCCAACTTTTTTTCTCAGAATTTTTTAATTAAAAATAAAAGTCAGTGAAAGTATATAAATCGCATATTTTATTTAAATGTAACCTGTTAAACAGTTGAGCCTAGTAGAAAATATCTTCAGGAACAGAGGCTCGCATATTAAGTCCAGTTTGCTACTTCTGTTTTTATTCAATCAAAGACTCCTGTGCTCCTATTATAGCAAACCAGCTTTGCCTTCAGGTTAGTATATCACCCTCAGGCCCTTTGTTGGTCTATCTATGACTGCTATTTTTTTTTCCAGTTGGTGAAACAAATCTAATTGGAAAAGTCATTGATGGGAAGATATTTTATGATTAGAGAAATCTCTTTTGTTTTTCTAAAGGAGGGGGTGGACTAGCAGCCTCCCTGCTAAACAGGAGGCCTCATATTTTAATGACTTCTGCTCACCCAGACACACGCTGACTTGGGAAGAAATTTTTCAAAAGAGTCAGCAGTCCACCTCGGTGATTTTGCTGGGGTTCTTTGCCACTAACTTCAGAAACAGCCCCATTACCTTTTATTGTCTCACAGAATAACCATGGCAACAGTGCATAATTAAGTAGAGCTGCTGGTAAATCGGTTTTATTATTGTATTTGAGAGGCTGACTTTTGCTGTTCTCGCACAGTGGCAACACTTTCATAGATGTTTTATTTTCTCCTTTGATAACTTTAGCACTTAAAAAAGGGAAAGATTACTCAGAGGAAGTACTTTGCCAAGAATGAATGAAACAAAAATGTTTTCTCCTAATGGCAGAGGGTGCCCAACCAACCCATAATCTTTTAGTTATTTTCTTCCCAAGTGTAACAAGGGGTCTGGGGGACCCATGCAGGTAGCTTGTTACCTTGGATAACCACCTCATGAACTGGCAGGGAACGTGCCCGCTGTGCACGTAGCTCCATTTTTTTTTGTTTTTTGTTTTCAAGCTTCTTTGCAATTGTTCCATTGTTTGCCTCCTCTTCATGATTGACTGTATGTAAGTCCTCAGAGCTGGATTCTGCCTCTGTCACCAACAGGGGAGGTGGCCTCAATGATGGTGAGATCCACTGTGCATTGGTATCACTGGGAGTGATCTACCTCAGTGAAAACCAGTTGGAAATGTATTTTAGGAGGCAAAGCAGTAGGGAATTATGAAGCAAAAATAGTCTCCTAATGTGACCTTTACCTAAGCGTAACAAAAAAAGCCCATATCCCTTCACCTAGCTAACCCTTAATTAAGCAGTGACTGAGTGCTGGGCATGTTGCTTGGTGTGGAGGACACATAAAATTCTGAACTCAGTGGCTGATATCCTCACCCTCAAGGGGTTCAAGGAATCCCCAGTGAGGAAGAACTTACCTGCTGCTCATCTCTGCCACTGACCTCATTCTGCTGCGTTGACTTGTAAAATCTGACAGGAACCAGAAGAAGAGCACTTGAGTCTGCCTGTGGCAGAGAAAATAGAAAGCTTCCATGCAAAGGAAAAAGTACATCTAATGACAGAAAACATGAGCAGTGAGACATGGCCAGGAACAGCAAATAACTCTGTTTGAGCAGAATGTGGCACAGGATTATGCCAGGTTATGTAGGTCCAGCCTAAGGAGCTCAGGTGCCGTCTTAAAGGCAGCAAGGCTGTTGAAAGATGATAAGCAGGGATATCATGGGATCAGACAGTTTGTGAAGCACTTTCTCCCGGTGGTTCTATAGAACAAAGTCAGGGGGCACAGCATTTGTTGTGATTTAGGAGAGGAAATGTGAAGGCCTGTACCAGGGGTCAGCTGGGATAAAGAAAGGAGGGAGGGCTGCAAGGAACATGTGGACCTGGTAGGGGCAGGACATTACCAATGACTACAGTGTAGCTAGACGGATAAGGTAGGTAGGCCCTATGTGCGGTATGGGAAGGACAGTAATGGGGAGGGAAGACACTGAGTTCAGTGTAGGACGGCTTGATGCAAAGTGCCTCTGGGGTCAGTACTCCGAGACACCTGCTGGGCAGTTGGACATGCAGGCATGTGCACAGGAGGAGGTCTGAACCAGAGTGAGAGAGGTGAGCATCCTTGGAGAAGCAGCAGGAATTGAAGCCATGAGTATAGGTGTGAGGGCTCAGTGAGCATGTGTGGAGAGGAGAAGTGCAAAATGCCAGGAGCCTTGGAGTTGAACAGGTACTTTAGAAAGAAGAACCCCTGAGACATCAACAGTGAGCAGCCAGAGGAAGGAAAGAGGCAGGAGGAAGGGCTTATCAATGTCAGATAAGCGAGGTGCCAGCAATACTTAGGCGAAAGAAATAGTCAAATTTAGGATAGAAAAGTGTCATAGGAAGTGGGCTGGAGCAAGGACAGTTTCAGGGAAGGTGTGCAGGCAGAGGCCCAGAGGTAAATAGGAATAGGGTCGAATTAGAGATGACTGTTGACAAATTTGTCAAAAACTTGGTTGAGCAAGAGCCAGAGGGGAGATGGAGATTGAGGGAGATTTAAATAAGACTTTAATCCTGCTTCTGCTGGGGCAAGGCCCCTGGGGATGGGACTACATGGAGGCAGGAGCCTGGCTGGAGCAGGTGGGGAGGCTCCAAAGTCCTGGGCCTGTGGCCTGGCCTCTGCATCGACCTCTGCACCCCACCCGAGCTGGCTGGATCCGATCTTTGTCCATTCTTGCCATGGTCAAATGCTGTGCCTTCTGCACTGTGATGCTGGCTCTTTCTAGTCCACAGCTTCTGATATGCGATTTGAAGACACATTTTACGGAGCAGACATAATCCAAGGGGAGAAAAAGAGACAGAGAGTGCTGAGCTCCAGGTTTAAGAACGAATATGTGGATGACCCCGTGTACCGCACTTTTTTGAAGAGCTCTTTCCAGAAGAAGTGTCAGAAGAGACAGTAATCTGCATGGACTGCTGCAGGCAACTGAGCAACTTGGGCCAGAAGAGGAAAGATGAAGGGACAGCCTTGGGGCCAGCAATGTGTTTCACTGGGGTAGGTGGCAGGGGTGTCTCTGACAGTGGAAAATTAGGCATGCTGGAGTTTGTCACCCAAACCACAGAGTACAAGTATTACTAATTGGACACAACAATCTGAAGTCATCCCCTAGTCCTGCTTTCACTTGTGAACAACTGTCTTCGATGATCCCAAAGAACTTTTCTAAGTACAAGGAAATAATAGTGAATCACCCACCAAAAAAAGCCACTGCCAGAGGGGGCGGGTCCCCACATGCGACCTAATTAGGCCCTTAGTCAGGAAACACATGGAGACTTCTCTCCACAAGCCCAGCAGGTGGGAGCCTCCATACCCAGGTAGGAGGGTGATAATTTATATATTTTCCACAGTCAGGGAAGGACTCTCACTTATTTGTCTTAAATGGAAGTTTTTATAAAACATTTTTAAAATACAAATGGCCTGTATGGTAATGAGATTTACCCATGTGCTATCTGTAATTTCCCTTGTACAGAACTTTTACATTTTTTTATATCCCTATTACTTTTGATTGTGTCTGATGAGAACTGAGTTGTTGGCCTTTGTGAAATTTTTGGCTCTTGAGAAAGAATTCTTATGAATTGTATGGGAATTTTATATATTTAAAGAGGGAGATCTGGGGCTGTTATTTTTAAACACTTTTTTTTCATAATATTCTGAGTAGATATTTATAAAATATATTTCTTTCATTATGTGTTTGTAAAATTAGAGTTTAAATAAATATGCTTTGCTGCATAGTTTTCAACTAATATGATTTTTCCTTTTTAAAACAGCCTGAAAATGTACTAGTGTTTAAAAATAAAGATTTCCATTTTCTCCAATTCTGTCTTCTGACTTGCTTATTTGTTTAGATTTAAAATTTTTTAAATGTTTTTTATTTTTGAAAGACAGAGAGAGTGAGAGCACTCACGCACGAGCTGGGGAGCAGCAGAGAGAGAGGGAGACACAGAATCCAAATCAGGCTTCAGGCTCTGAGCTGTCAGTACAGAGCCCCACATGGGGCTCGAACTCAGGAGCTGTGAGATCGTGACCTGAGCCAAAGTCGGATGCTTAACTGACTGAGCCACCCAGGCTCTCCTGTTTGGGTTTAAATCAATAGAAAAAACAGGTTTTCTTTAGGAGCTGTCTATGAAGACATATCAAAGTTTGTCAGGCCCTTCTTCAATCACAGACATTTTACATAACTGGACATGTTGCCAGACATTTCAGGCAATGTCACTGGGTATAAAGGCTCTTCGGCCTGCCAGTGGTGCCAGTTAGTGTTTCCATCAGCTTATTCTAGGCCCTGAAGAACTCCAGAACTAGAGTCTGGAGCTTTTTTCATCCTAGGTTTCTTGGTCCCCAATTCCCTTTAGAAAAGGCTGTGGTGGACCCTCCCATCCCTCTCCTCACTTCATAGGTGAGCTGTGGAAGACAGGTAGGGAAGGGATTGCCCAGGGTCACACAGTCCTTAGTGACTGCCTTAGTTAACTGTGGCTGCAGTCATGCTGCTTAACAAACAACTGCAGCAGCCCAGTGGCCTGCAGTGGGAAGTACTTGTTTTGCTTATGGGCCTACAGTCTAAGCTGGGCTTGGCTGGGTAGCTGTGCTGACCTCAGCTTGGGTGAGCTCACATGTCCGCTCCACATGTCTCCCATCATCCCACTGGACCCTTTGGACTAGCTCAGGTGTGTTCTCATGTCAATGGCAGAGGCCAGAGAGCAGGTGAGCCCAGCCGAGTAAGCATATTTCAATCCTCTCTGTGGTGCTGGTTAACACACCATGGACCAAAACCATTGGAGGTCATTTCAGGGTTTCATGGCAAAGACTGTGGATGTATCATGTTACTGGGCAGAGTAAAGAGCTAAAATAGTAATAACAGAACCACAGTTAAATCTCAGTTCTCCAGACCGCCTGCTGGCTGAGTGCTCATTTTCCAGAGTGGCTCATGCCTGAACTCTGAGCTGGGGAAAAGCCCACCAGTCTTACTTTTACAGGGACTGAGCACTCCACATTCCCTATCAGTATCATCATAAATTTTATCAAGTAATCAAGTTTGTGTTTTCTGTCTCCAGGTTTTGAATGCAACTGACCTACCTTCTCCATTATATGCCAGGAAAGTAGGCCTGTGTAAAGCATTAAGAAGAATTAATCTAAATAGGATCATTCGTTCTGTACAAGTTTGCCTGTCAGCAGGATTTGTGATTGGCTGCCACAGGGAGAAAATGTGCAGAGTTCTATGTGATCTCAAACACAGCTGTTTTTTATAGGCTTACTTAACTAATGTTCCTATAACCAAGTACAGCTGTATATGGCCTTAGCAAAATAATGCTGGCCACAGATGCACTCTGGCTCTCAGGAAAGATACCTTTGTTTCACTGCATTCTGCATGAAGTCATTATTAGCTCTATGACCAGACAGATCATTAAAGGTTTTTCACTTACTGCATGACACTTCAATTGTAATTTTAATTTCTTTGTGTTACACTAACTGCATTTTTAGTGTGTATGTGTAGCATGAAATCAGTTGAAGGCTGTATTCTGGTATTAAAAAAATTGCTAGCTGTGACAATTCTAATGTAAATCTAATTGCAAGCCGTGTCTCTGGAGGTTAGAGGATTAATACAAACTGCCTGGCATATTTCACAATATTTTAGTTCCTTTATGTGTGTTTGAAATGAGAACAATGTGATTCTTGTCAGTTTACTTTTATTAAGGTACTTTTGTTTAGTTCATCGAGAGAGAAATTGAGAAGAAGCATCCACTAAAATACATGGCTGGAATTCATTATAAATTGCTACTGGCTAATAGTATATGAAAACATGAAGACTCAGAATACAAAATAATTAGGAGGAATGGGTATGCCACTTCTCCCTGAACCCATCCAGTGTGAAACAACTCTGACATGCATATGGTACTGTAAATGACTGGGAGGTCTTATGAGTAATCATATTGGAGTGTGTATGCTGCAAAATAACATTATGCTTTATTTTTTTTTGCCTTTAAGTAAAAGAGATCTGAAATGAAACTCTTATTTCAAATATTAGTCAGCCTCATAAACTTGAAGCTAACTAGAGGCATTCTCATTACATGAAATAATTGTGACTGGTTGGTTACAAGACTCAATTGTACTACAGACTCTGAGAATTCAGATGTGCACTCATTGAAAGTGATACACAGTCTTTCACCCCATATGTTGTAGAGACATAAAGCACTGACTGGTGGGGAGAAGGACTCCTGGCCTCAGACGAGGTCTGAACTCTCCAGCAAGTAGATTCCTCCATCCTCAGAAGGTGTAGGACCTCTTGAAGAAATTGAACTTCATGAAAAGCATCTGATAGTAATGACGTATTGAGTGTCTATTGTGAATTCCGGCCTTGTAGACTCCTTCCTGGCATTTATTTACCTTGTTTAACACCCACCGCCCAAGAAATCAGCAAAGAATCATTCCTCACTTTCGTGGAGGAAAACTAAGGCTGAGAGAGGTTAAGTAACCTCTAAGTCACTCAACTTTCATGATGCATGAAGAAAAAAAGGATTCAAAACCTGACCCAAACAAAAGTCATTTGAAAGACAACTCTGAAGCTCAAAAGGTAGGTTAGTACTAGAGATGTAAATGAGGAAGGCATCATTTTTTTTTTATTGGTAAATGTTTAAAAATACATGAAATCTGGGGCCCCTGGGTGGCTTAGTCGGTTAAGCGTCTGACTTTCGCTTAGGTCATGATTTCGCAGTTCGTGGGTTAGGGCCCCGCGTCAGGCTCTGTGCTGACTGCCAGCTCAGAGCCTGGAGCCTATTTCAGAGTCTGTGTCTCCCTCTCTCTCTGACCCTCCTCTGCTCAAGCTGTCTCTCTCTCTCCTAGAAATAAATTTAAAAATATAAAAAATAAAAAAATAAAAAATAAAAATACATGAAATCTACCACCTGGCAAAGGCAAAACCATAAGGACAGAAAAAAGATCAATGCTTGCCAAGGACTGGAAGTAGGGGAGGGGACTGACAACAAAGGGGTATGAAGGAGCTTTTTTGGGGGTAGTGGAAATATTCTTTTCCTTGATTGTGGTGGTGGTAACAGCACTATATGTCAGCATTCATAGAACTGAACACTGAAATAGGTGGATTTTACTACATGCAAATATCACCTCAATAAACCTGTCTTAAATAAAAGCTAGATAAACAATGGGCAAGCTACCTAGACTGCATATCCTGTGAACAGAGGACAGGAATTGAGAAGAGATCGGAACCCTGGGATGGCTGAACAGATGGGTAGAAAAAGAGAAGACTGTGAATGAGCACTAAAAGGGAAAACCAGGATACTCTGATGCCCTGGACATTAAGGGAAGAAAGTGTTTCAAAAAAAAGGGGTTATAAACAGAGAAAATATGCTGCAGAGTCCAAGTAAGATCACGTAATTGTTTATTATTGATCTTGGTGAGAGCATTTTAAGTGGTTTCAGATGAGAAATCTATTAACATTCAAATTCATGTTCCCTGCTCGACCAGCACCACCTCCTCTCCCCTTTCCTTTCCTTCCTCCTTCCTCCCCTCCCTCCATATCTCCCCCTCCCTTTCTCTCTTCTTTCAAGATTTTCTTCTTTGTCTTTAGTTTTCAGAAGTTTGACAACAATGTGTCATGGCTTTGATTTCTTTGGGTTTATTTCATTTGGAGGTTTGTTTAACTTTTTGGCCTTTCAGCAAATTTGGGAAAGTTTTAGCCGTTATTTCTTGGAATATATTTTAAATTCCATATTCTTCTCGCCATCTGAGGCTTCAATGATAGAAGTGTTAATCTTTTGTTGTTGTTACATAGGTCCAGGATGATTTTTTAAGTCTATTTTCTCTCTGTTCAGATTGGATAAGTTCTATTGATCAACCCTCAAGCTTACTGGTTCCATCCATTGTCATCTCCAAACTATTATCGAGCTCACTGAATGAGTTTTTTATTTTGACTATTGTATTTTTCAGCTCTATGATTCCCATTTGATTCTCTTTTATATCTTCTGTTTCTTTGCTGAAATCTTCTATTTTTTTTCATTGTTTCAAGAGAGTTCATAATTATTTGTTGAAATATTTTCCTGATGGCTGCTTTACATCTGTGTCAGATAATTTCAATACGTAATCCATCTTGGTATTAGTGTGTGTTGTCTTTTCTCATTCAAGTGGTTTTCCTGGTTTTTGTTGTAACAAATGATTGAGTTGTAACCTGGACATTTTGACTATTATGTTAGAAAACTTTGGATTACATTTAAATCTTTTTCTTAAGCAGGCAGTCACCCTGTTTTGCTTTAGTGCTTAGGTCCTGACCTACTTTTGCAGGCTGGGGTTCCAATGACAATTTAGTTTTCTGAGCTCTTCTGATCTGCTTTGTGTGTGTGCTACCCAGAGACCACGCCACAATCCAGGGTGCTATTCCACACTTTAGTTCAGTTCTCAAACTTTTTGGTGAGATAGTGTCAATCAATTTCATATGTGAGTCAGTCAGCAAATACTCTTGCATATTTAGAGAGTTCCTTTCTCTAGCTCCCTGCTGTCTAAGATCACCTCTCCATTCTCCAGTTGAAAAAGTGAGGGACACTGCCTCATACTGTTGAGAAATCCCACTCAACCCCCACTGATAGCATGCTGGCAAGGAGGGAAATGCCACCCAGGACCTTCAGCAGGTGGTAATTAGGGGGCAGAGGTGAAAGTC